GTAGAAGTTTCTTTCTCAAAAGATGTTTAATGTATCAGGTGTTAAACAAAGGGATATTTGTTGTGAAACTAATTATTCGCTCACCGTTCGTTAGAAAAATTTGGTAATTTCTGTTACAGTTGTTACACTTGCTTAAAGCTAATGCGGGTTCACCTTTGTCAAATAATGAAAACAAAACAATGAATCAGCGTCCAGGTAGGCTAATGTACTAGCAAGAAGTCTTGATATAGCGTAGGAAGTTCATTCCACAAACACCAAGCCAGCACACAATGAATCCAAGCACTCAAATCACGTCTGTTTATACACCATAGAGACGTCGTTGGGAGAGTCACAAAACAGCACAATAAAATACACAGTGACCGATCCCAGCTAAGGATTCTCATGCTGAGAAATTTGATCTCAAGGTCAACTGATCAGCCCATGAATAAAATCCAAAATAAAGATATTTATCAAGCGAGTCCTAGGGATCTAACATCCCCAACAATTCCATCGACGCCTTTCAAATTCAGGTTGAAATTTCAATACTTAACTGTTTAGTATTATACATTTAAATCTCAAATTCAAATAATCTTATTCTATTTAATTTTAGTAAATAGAATACTAAAGATAATTTTTTAGTTTTTTTCTCCAAATATTTATTTAACTTTTTTGCTTGTAAAAAGAAATCAGATATCTTACATTGTCTCTTACAATGTTTAGTTAGATTAAACTACCGATATTCAAATCAGCTCCTCTAGACAGATATGGTTGCTTATTTTATCAGCTCAGTTGATCACTAGGGAAATATACTAAGAGGAATATTTATTGTCTAGTTAAATGTTTGCATTCTTTTGAAATTATTTAAGTGAATTTCACAACCAAGTTAACTTTTATCACAAATGAAAATTTTTCGCTAATAAAGTCTAACTCTAAAACCGATATACCAGGAACATATTTTTATCTACCGATAGACTAACTGTAAGCTAAACTAATGATACTGTATTTTAAAAATAACCGACGTTAAATTTAGCATTTTTGTAGACTCCGACTTAGTATTTACCAGCAACATTCAGATGTTAGTTAGTTCTATCTAATATTAAAATCTCTTTATAAACAAATCTCTTTATTTATACGGGTTGAAAGAAGAAATTAACAGGAATTTTTCTGTTTTGTTTATGCAAATAAATATGAAATATTCACTGGATAACTTAAAATTCTTAATTTTTTCCCTGTGTATGTCGATGATATGAACTAACTTAGTTACTTTCATGGAGTGTACCAAATGTTTAATTGTAATTGTGTAATATAAGCAACAGTCATCAGACAAAAATTTAATTATATAATTGTAATTTGCCTGCTCACTTATAAGGAAACGGATGTACTCAGTAGTCTATTATTAGTAAATATACACCGGAAGTTAATATGAATTAGCCCATTAGTTAAAGAACTTTCTCAGGAAAATGCACTTGTTCTTTTTGTTCAGTATGATGAAATACATCTGCACTTTATTAAATAAGCAAATGAGAAACTATACATATACTCAAAATACATATTTCAGAAACACTACATTCCTTCGTAATCCTGAATTTATACATTTTTTTCAATTGCTTACAACAATAATTTAGTCTGTTATTGCGTGTAGGAGTATATACACTAGTGTGTAACAAAAGTCCACTCTTTTGCTATATTAATGATGTCAGTTATGTTAAAGCATTGTTATTAGGTGATTAGTTAATTGTACTTAAGATTAAACAGTTACTTATAATGTAAGTGTTTGTTTGAAAATGACGACAAAATATTTTTAAATATAATAAAGTAGTATTTGATGTGTATTTTTAGTGGAGTACTATAAATATGGTTTTCAAGTTTAGTATATAGATAACTTCCATCAATGAATAGGTATGTACTGATTATTTAGTAAACAACTGGCAACAAAAAAATAACAAGGGCCAAGGAACTGCTGAAAAATAAAGAGATTTAGATTACTGATTTGTTGTTTGCCGACGTTTTTCAGAAGTACGCACGTACGCACCTTACGTAACGTGGAATGAGGAACATTTGAGATTTTTGTGAGTTGTTAATTATGAATATCTGTATCAGTATCCAGAAGTTTTCATTCTCAGTTAATGGTCTTCTAGATATAATTTGTTTAGAAAGTAGAGTGTTTCCAAATTCATCTTACGTAGTGGCATCCGTAGACCTACTAATGACTAGCTTATAAAAGGCCCTCCCAAGTCGGACTCAACAAATCTAATAATCAAACAGTATTTTGCTGATGGCACCTAATAAGATTCGGTCTATTTTGAATAGAATGGAAGGTTGCAAATCAGAGTATTGTATTGCAATTCTGTAACTAAACGTTACTTTTCTCGTTGTAAGATCTAGAAAACCTGTATTTATGTCTTGTTCAGTTTCAGTTGGGAAGCTTTTAACTCGGAAAAAAAATCTGTTGCTTTGTCTCATTGGTTTTATATTTAACTTCAATTGCAATGAGAACCATTTTTTAAATAATAATTAAATATTAAAATGACCATTTTGAACAACAATCGACTATCTGATCTTTTCATGTACGTTTCAATGACTGTCTGCTGTTCCCAATATGATGAATAAATTTTTGACAACTAAAAGACTGATGATAAAATCTCATTGTTAGCTCATACACAAAGCACATGTATCTACTTCCAAATGTTTAACATTAAAACCAGTATTTCTTATATTTTCACAAACCACTGTCCAAAAATTTATCAGTTTACAAAGCTAAATATTCTGTTGGTTTATTGAAACTTTAAAAGCTGCAAACCACTTGTGTTTTCTCTTTACACAGCTTCATATAACATAATAGAAAACGATAACGTAAGTTTATTTAATTAACTTAAAGTATTCATACGGTAATAGTTATATGACTAGCAGAATCAAGGACACCTTACCAATTTGGTGCGTCCAAATTTTTAAAAGGTAAAATGTCAGCGAAAAATTTATCTTGTTCCTTTCAGTAAAGCTCCATTGTAAGTAATACTATCTTCGATGCTCGGGTGCGTGAGAACCAATGAACCAGGAATAATCCTTAGAAACTTTGTTCACTTATCATATATCATGCTACATTAATGATAAAGATATTTGTACTTAGTATGTATTATTGTGCTGCACTAACTGACTGCATTTCAACATTACTTGTAGCTCATGTTTTTCATGCCCCACCAAATCTATGTATATGCTCACTAGCTCTCATGCTTGAAATTGGTTTCATAGATTCTTAGACAGTTGCTTACATTTATTAAACGTTATCAGCAATTTTTGCCTGTTCGATTCACGTTCGTTAATACTTCTTCTCATGTTCTGGACAACTTGTAGTAATTTAAGATGAAGTGAACAGATCCAGAGATTTCTACCCGAGTGTACAAGTAAAATTAATTTTTCGGTTTTGTTAATTAACAAAGTAATGAGTAGTTGTGGAACATATGTATGGTAGTTGCGAACACATTTCGTCAGCTAATCTATTCTACAATATTTCTTAAATTGTTTCATATTACTCAATAAGATTCAGTAGTCCAGAATTTTTCAAGAAATATTGATAATTCATAGATTCAATCGTATATTCGTGAAAACTGCAGAGCATCTGTGTTGTAAGTGCAATATATAATGAACTTTGAAGCAGATTTATTGGTTATATGTCAATCTCAAGGTTGTAAAAAGTGAGAGACGGCTCAGAATACTCTTATGACCGATTCTATTCATCGTTGTATTCAAAATCATTTAGGACTGAGATCTTGATTTTTCGACTAAACATCATTGACTTTTCCACGTTATTGATTATTCAGGTAAAAAGCCCCGTAGGTAAGCAGTGTCAAGATATAAGTTATTACCAAATTGCATCAGTCACCTGGAGGATGGATTACAGTTGGTTGATCATAGTGGAAGAGAAGCCATATATTCAGGTAGTTGCCAGTAGGAACAACTTCTGCATATTAGTCAGTCAGAACTCTCTATTTGATTTTGTTTATATAACTTCGGCTAGTCGATAGTCACAATAAAAAATTGAACATGAATTAGGTTGAATGAATTTGCTTCAGGAGTTTTTTTCATCCAAACGGGCAATGAGAGATGTGAAGCGAAGAGAGTAAAAGTCTCAACTCCATTTGATAACGCTTAGTAATTATAGTCATAGAAAAAACAAGCCAGAAACATGGAGTGAAAATTTTAAGTAATAAACATATTTGTGAACATGCCCCCACATCAAAGCAATGAATTGGAAAGGACAGTAACTGACAAGGTTAAATATATCAGTAGATAATGGTTCAAAAAGATCAGAATAATTAGTATATCTATTGATTGGAATAATCCAAGCAGGCGTGAAATAATACAAGCTACATCAACGTCTCTGGAATGTTCTTCCTATAGTTCTCTGAATAATTTGGTTTACTAACATCCTTTTATGGTTAATAGATAGAAGTGATGATATGCATTTCTTAAAATCACAAGTTATCCGTTGTGTAATCTGAATATTTCCTACATTTTCGCTTTTCAGAACATTTATTTTAAAATTATAACACTTCCAATCATAAAAGGTTTAATTTCTTTTCACCCTTAACATGAAGTGATTTACAAGCATTATATGTCAACATGAAATAAAACATTTATGAATATCGGTTAACAATACAAAATATTTTCTCTTTTGTACTATGTTTTAATTATGTAGTTTAACCATACGTATATGTATTGGCTTAAAAGTTGGAACTGATACTATACACACGTAATCATTTCACAGTGTATCAGGTTTTATGATTTTTTTCAGTGATGAATAGTTCCAATGAAGCATTATGCTTTTAAGCTACAAAATTCCCTAAATTTGGAAGTTTTAATAATCATACAGTAATGACCACACAATTTTATTACGCATTCAGATCACATGATCCTTTAGGAAGAACATAAACAGAAACTTAGCAAATTAAACATTCACAGATCGAGTATAGAAACAGACTAAAGCTTATAAATCTTATAGACTATAAAAACTAGGCACCAAATGAGAAGTCATTTTATTGATTTATTTATTTATCTTTTCGACATTCACATTTTAATTTTATTCTTGATTTCATGCACATCATTATCCAAATCGTAGAGGAGAAATTGGTAGATTGTTCATTGACGCCTCTTCTTCTTGTAACATATGATTCAAATAACGAGCCAATTCTTCTCTTGAAGAAACTGAGTTCAATAAGAATGTACGAAAAAACAAACTTAAAAAAAGTCACAATAAAATATATCAAAAAATAGAAATGGAAGTTCATAAATGGTATTGGTCTTGTAAACTCACAGGTAAACTTACAAAATCCTGTTCATGACAAGAAATATCCTGCTAAATAATAATCTATGATCGTTAATGCTAACTAGTCTTTTAATTGGCTGGTATATATATAAAGACAATGTAATCTTAGAAAACATAATATTATAAGTTATTGTTAGAATGAAAATACTGATTTGAATATAATATTAACTTGAACGACCAAAGAACAAGCTTTTAAAATATTACGAGGACTGAAGATTCTTATCCTTTACATTACAATTACAAGCATGCTTATTAAGCTATTTAATATTAGAAGGAACAAAAAGCTGACTGAGTTGACAATCAGACAGTCTAAGATACTCATCCTCAAGTCTCCAGTATTGTTTGTATGGATGATTGATATCTGTACGAATTCCAAGCTTAATCAAGTATGCCAGGGCGATCGGTATTTAGTATAAAATGATATGTTAGAAATACCATCTAACTTGAGGAAAAAAATATAAAAGTATTAAAATAGACAGGTTAATAAGGTAGATAATTAAATATAATAAACGATCCTTTTAAAAAACTGTTCCAGTATTTCATTCCTAGAGTAATCTTGATATTATAAGTTAGAAATTATTGTAAATTAAACTGAAGAAATAAATAATCATGCAAATTTTAAATATCCCCATCCATTTCAATCATACTTGATACGACTAATGAAACAACATCAAAATCATTTCTCAAGAAATCTTTGATATCAACACTGTTAGATTTATAAAAGACAAAACTTGTAATATATAATCACAAAGACCCGAATAAACAATGACAGCATTCTTACGGAACACCAGAGGAGACAGGTTTTATCATGTAGGATCATGCCGAAAGAAATATTTTTCAGAAAAATTAAATTACATATTTCGCCTTGATTATATCAGGGTAACCAGTAAATGTGGAAGATACTGATAAAGGGTTCTCTCACCTTCTCTGACAGCATATCTTGATCTTCTCTAATTCGATTAACGGAAACTAATTATTACCTTCATCATGAGATCATAGTAAAATTAACAAACCGAATGTATATCAGTTCTTATCAACAAACAACATGTTAAACTTACCTTCCTTTACTCATTAATCACGTTTTTATGCTTATGAATTATTTATTTTCAGATATGTGGGAAACTTTTTTTTATCATATGATACACCAATAATTTTATTAATGTTCACAAAAAATCGAATTGTGAATAAATCTTTTGTTCTTTTGAATAGTGTAAAGATTTACTTACGTGGTTATGTATGACACTAAGCTGTGTTACTTATCTATCAATTATATTTCTGTTTTGGATGCACCATCAAATACTGCTCTAGGTCATTCGTAAACTGCTTTTATTGCATCAATCTAGAGATCCTAGTAGATTTGCATTTAAGAACGTTTTTACTAACTTAAAACATGAAAACATTGACTATTAGCTAAAAGATTTAAATGTGCTTGATACTCTTCTCAACTTCGTTTTTCATAACACTGCAAACATATCCGCAACAAAAATAATCAGATATTTACTAAATAAATTGGATAAATATTAGTATTTCGATATGTACAAGTCTATTCATCTAAGTTGCCATGATAAATATAAAATTCTTATGCAAATGAAATATAATTTCCAAAAACTGAGCTTCATGTTTGAATTTGACGTCAGCTTGCAGTTTTCACCAACGACTATTTAAAACATTAACAGCTCCATTAATTTGTCTTCATAATAATATCCAATATATGATATATATATATATATATATATATATATATATATATATATATATATATATATATATATACGGTGGAGGGCCAGATATGCGGTTAGGGACCCCAATCTGTAGAAATTCAACTCGCTAAAAAACCCTAATTCGAAAGAAATAATTCAAATAAAGTTTCATAAAATGAATTCAAGCAAATATTTATTTTTAATTTTTCCGCCTATATGATATTTAACCGTATTTTATTGATCGTGTAATTCACATGACTACTTGTTATGCATTCCTAATGTATTTGTATAATACGAATAATTTTCCGAGCTTAAGTGAAAATAGCAAGAACAATAATTTAACCATTAATATATCCTCACTAAATAATTGAGTGGTTTGAAAGATTTCAAGAGAGATGACTTTTAAAATGTTATCGATCTAAAATAAGCGGAAAGTAAACCGGGTATTTATAACACAATGGCTTATCAGAATGATGCATATTGATAATAATTTTATTCCAAAATCGCATGAGATATCACCAAAAAGAGCATATTAATTACTTTCAACTCAATATTTAAATAGTTAGTCCGGTATAATATAATTGTTAGTTATCATTTATCACTCCTAGTCTAAATGTACTGAAACGGTATCTGGTAGAAAAAAATATGCGATTTGCTAAATTAATTTATGATTAAATTTTCCATTATCTTTTTTCTAGTTTTTTCCCACGGATTTTGAATTTTCCTTTTAATTATTGACTATCAGTGAACACGATTCCCTCCGAAAACTGAACAGGTAGTGCGGGAAGAGCAAGAAGGTTTATGTATTGATATTTTTCATCACTAACTAATAGTTATCGTGAAGTTATCATGTGAACTGAAAGTTTCGCAAAAATAGTTCTACAAACGTAACGGATGTTACACTGTGTAGCGATCAACATGAAATGGTTTGGCGGTATACCATGAGGTGTGTATATCTTGCAAATATAGACAGTGATTAGCTGTGTAAAAGTAGTTAGATTTCTTTCGAGGCATATTGTTTTTACTTGAAAAAAAATAGTAATAATAAAATCATCAGAAAGTGTTAGTTGTGGCTGTTAATGAACCTTAGGAGAAACACTTAGTTTTATATCGAAGTTTAGACCACACATAAGATGAATATACACAGAAAGGAGTGATTCGTCTTTCGATTCGATTTAAAAATTTCTAAACTTCAGCGATTTTTGAATGATTACAACTGAAATTATATATATTTGTGATTAGTAGTAAAAAGCAAAACTCAAAGTGTTTATACATATTGGATACAACAACACAGTGGAAATTTAATATGCTGCAGTTTTTAAAAAATCTTCCGAAAAATGATTGATTTTTTTTGACATTATATTTTAAATAAATCATCTATCAAACCTTAATATCATCACTTTGTCGAGATCCACTGTGAAACATATCTGATCAGATTCAATTATACTTAACAAGTGCGCGGTTATGGGTATGAGGGTGGATGTCTTTTCCCGGATGCCCACACCGTGAAAGGATATTTCTTGAAGAACCTGAAAAGGAAGTTGTATAAGCGTTGGTCTTAGAGATCTGGCAGCGTGATCACAGAGCCCAAGGGACAACTGCTTCAGGCCGGTCACGGAAGGACTTTTTGTGAGAAGTTTCCAAATTATTGGCTCCGCTCTTTTTAAAAAACCTTAGCGTAAGAGATGGAAACCCTTGAGGTAGGGTGAGGTGTGACATTTTTTGGGTTGACCTTTTCTAGCTCCTTCCTCCCTTGTTAGAAGGCAGCATCGCTGCAGATGTTGGAAACACCGTATCGCTGTCACACCTTTCTACAGTTAGCAGTGCGACTTCGCCCTCAGACCTTGAATAGCTGCTTTTAGTCTCATCATTCTCCGATCGACCTGCCTGGCAAGGTAGAACCTACAGGAACATATGTTCGAGCCAACGTAGCTCGAATGTATCATCACGATAGTCACGCCTGATGCATAGTTCTACATGGTGAAGACGCTAACAAAATGCGGAGTCTTCTGACTATCCTAAGCAACAATGCAAGCATGTTCAAGGTCTAAATACAAAATGTTGCTTCAGGATTAGTTTGCATTGGCACCTGAACTAGTGGTAGAGAGTGAATCAGTTGAGCGTGTTAATTGCATCACTTATTTCGGTAGTCTCATCTGTGACGATGGTCTCGTGTCTGACCTCATGCTATATAGCATCTACAGTAAAGTTTCATGCTCACATATAGTTTTTATTGAATTGTCAATAAATACATTTCGAAAATTTCTACCTGCATTTAAATTTTATATAAATGTTCAAACTCTAAACTTACTGAGACAACATATACCCTATAGTTTTATCTCAGATATACTTACCGTTTAATAATTTATTGACTGAAATCTCGGATTCAGAAATCTGTCTTTAGTTACTGTACAATACATAATCAGTACTTTTACACTTATGTGAGTTTTAAACATTCCAAAAAGGGATCGCTAAAAAGTACTTCTGAGTAGTAATGTGACCTACTTTCATAATTTAACACAAAAGTTTAAATTCACTATCTAGAAACTGATTGGTTACTAGTTCATCCATATTGTAACCGACACTATGTAATCATTACAAGGATGCAATATAAGTTTCCACTCTTCAGTAAAATCGACTACAAGATCAAGTTAAAAAAGCTAATAATTAAAGAATAAGCAATAAATATTTAGCTAGATAACTGATCTAGTTGAAAACAAAGTTCTTACTTCTATTACCTACTTGGTAATATTTAGGTTATTATATAACACTGTCATATTTTGGTTGTTCCAAATCAAAACCAAGTACTCTGTAAACGTATGTACATATGATAGGTAACTAATGATGTTATTATTTGATTATTACATATGAACAAAAAAATTTCCTTTGGTATAGTCTTTCAAAACCTAATGATATTCATTTCAAAGCAATTGTTAAATTGAGACCACCGTGATAAGAAATCGTAAAAAATAAAATAACCATAACGTTCATGATAAAAATAGACATTTTGATTAAGAAAATTTTGAAACTCTGTGTGACATTTTTCGTTGTTCCATTCATATAAAAATAAGTTAACAATAGAAATTATCAAATTGTTTTTGTATCAAATGGTATAACTTGACAGAAGTTTAAAACGTTCTAGTTCCTAGAAGAATATAATCATGGAAATGAAATATCAT